GATGTCGAGAATTTTACAATATGTCAAGGAGCGCGAAGGAAATGATATGATGAATTATTTCCTCCTTCTAGTCCTAAAACCATATCTTACTGGTTTCATTAAATCGATATCCATTCCAAAGTGGTCCTGTGGATAAGACTGATCGCTTGACAATGCTATGTACACGGTTCGACTCCCGGCTTCTCCTTTATACCCATGTTATTTGTATCATTTTTTTCTTCATTCTATGATATTGACTTGTCCATCTTTTTTTAAAAGGGGACACCCCCACCTCCTCGACAAAGGAGAAAATAACATGTAGCAGCCCTATGTATTTACCGATCATTTTCGTAATGATACACAAAAATATTTCCTCTTACCCCCCCCCCACCTTATTTAGCGGCTGGCTGAGTCGTTGCAAAATTTTTGGCTCGATTTCAAAATGTTACCCCCCCCCCCCCCTCCCTTGAAAAAATCCTGCGTACGCCACTGCACAAGCCTATATAACCAAGAACTGAGAATGACTTCATAATCTCAATTCATATATTTAATGATACACCTGTAGATATGATTCTATTGGTATATTATAGAGGAAAATCTAATGACAATCTTGGTCTAAACAATAATACTAGATGATATTTCTAAAGAGAGAAATGTTCCTTGCACGGTGTCTATAATGTATATCAATACAAAAAACTTGACTGCCAGAGCGCGGGCTGGAGCGACCATGAAAAACACATCGTTACATTAATCTCCAAAAATATTGGCATACTGTATAGAATAAAATGTTTTGTTTGTTTCTAATAGAAAACTTATACTTATGCTATATAATAGTCTAATTTTACCACATATTTTGTGGGCAACATCCAAGTAAAATATTCTTCTGCTGCAAAAGAAAGCTGTGCTCTATCATAAGATAAGATAAGATAAGATTTTATTCGTCTTTCTTTCAAATGACATACAGAGCATAACATTGGATCATAACACATTTACAATGTAAAATAACAAATTATGGTAATGATAAAAACAAAGTTAACTAAAAGAAAGACGAGGAGACCCTGGTAAAAGCAGAGCTTGTAATTATTAGGGTCCCCTCTGAGCCGGATAAAACATGATGAATAGATATTTGTGACTACCTAAGAATACAATAGGGAAAAGGGGGTATAACAAAACAAGAAGTGTACACACACACAACAACAACAACAAAACGAGAGACGAGACTAGACAAGACGGGAGAAAAGAGAAAATATGAGAAATAATAGAAGACTACAGCACATCGACAATAGGCACAGCACACAACGGGCACAATACAACAGGGGGAGGGAATAAGAGGTTGACAATCTGAAAATATTCAGTTAGACACATATTAATATCAAGAAGAAAATTTACATCTATAGTATACAAATATACACTGCCTTGAGAGGTTCTGGTTAAAACTATGCGCAAGAGGTGACTCCAATAGTACTATTTGCTGAGGGGCGCAGCCCCGAAGCAAATGGTACTTTTGGAGTCACCGAGGCCCATAGTTTAACCAGTACCTCGAATAGAAGGCATGGTATATTTGTTTTATATCCTGCATCAAAAATTAATTAAAAAAAAAAAAAAAAAAAAAAAAAACATTTTTGGGAAAAAAAAATTTAGAACAAAAAAAATGTCAATTTTTATCTAAAAAGATTAAAAATATTTTGTTTTCATTAAATCAAGATTTGAAAAAAAAAATTGATTTAATTTAATTTTTTTTTTTTTTTTTTTTTTTTCCAACTCCCAAATAGTAAACCAAAATAGTACTCTCATATAGTACTTTCTAAAAATAGCTCAAATATTTTTGGTCATGTGACGAGCTCTCAACCAATCAGAAGCCGACAAATTTTTGATGCAGAATATAATAATACATAATATATCTTGGCACCATAATAACTACAAAAATGAACTACTCTATGAGTCACAGTATTTATCGAGAAGATAAACCTTAAGTTTACACTTAAATGAAGAGAGACTAACAGATTGCCTAACGCTATAGAGCCTAGAGAGTTCCAAAATTTAGGTCCAGTAAAAACCAAAGTATTAAAAGTTAACTTTGTCCTTACTTGGGGTAAGAGAAACGCAGAGGCATTTTCGTGTAGCATGGTCATGAACTTGACTATTTTTCTTTAAAATGCTGACTAGAGCCTGTGGAAGGACACCAGAATCGAAGTCGTACATTAAAGAACCCAGTTGAAGGTGATAAATATCTTGGACCTTTAAAATTCTATGCGTATAAAAAAGCGGATTAGTGTGCGTACGAAAGCTAACGTTACAAATAATTCTTAAGACCCTCTTTTGAATCAAGTATACCTTTTCAAGGTTAGTTTTAAGAGAGTTACCCCAAGCAAGAACACCATAATTAAGATAGGGGAAGATTAATGTTGATAATAATACAATATTTATATAGCGCAAAATAAACATAGTTTCTCTTTGCGCTGAATGTTGAGTACATTAATAGAAGGATGCCTTTAGGTAAAATTGATTTCAATTTATGAATTACGCCACTGTTTCTTGACAATGTCTTATAGAGATGATTTACATGAATTTTCCAACTCATTTGCTCATCAATGTGCAAACCAAGGAATTTTGTTGATGATACCCTATCTATCAATACATTATTAAATGATACATCTCCTGGAAGCACTTTGATTGTATTATTAAAAAACATATAATTTGTCTTTTGCAGATTTAAAGACAATTTATTTGCTTGGATCCACAAAGTAACTTTACTTAGATCGAAATTAACCGTTTCTAACAGAGTTTGTGAATTTTTGTGTGAATATTACAAGCTGGAATCATCAGCAAGATAAACCTTAAGTTTACACTTAAATGAAGAGAGACTAACAGATTGCCTAACGCTATAGAGCCTAGAGAGTTCCAAAATTTAGGTCCAGTAAAAACCAAAGTATTAAAAGTTAACTTTGTCCTTACTTGGGGTAAGAGAAACGCAGAGGCATTTTCGTGTAGCATGGTCATGAACTTGACTATTTTTCTTTAAAATGCTGACTAGAGCCTGTGGAAGGACACCAGAATCGAAGTCGTACATTAAAGAACCCAGTTGAAGGTGATAAATATCTTGGACCTTTAAAATTCTATGCGTATAAAAAAGCGGATTAGTGTGCGTACGAAAGCTAACGTTACAAATAATTCTTAAGACCCTCTTTTGAATCAAGTATACCTTTTCAAGGTTAGTTTTAAGAGAGTTACCCCAAGCAAGAACACCATAATTAAGATAGGGGAAGATTAATGTTGATAATAATACAATATTTATATAGCGCAAAATAAACATAGTTTCTCTTTGCGCTGAATGTTGAGTACATTAATAGAAGGATGCCTTTAGGTAAAATTGATTTCAATTTATGAATTACGCCACTGTTTCTTGACAATGTCTTATAGAGATGATTTACATGAATTTTCCAACTCATTTGCTCATCAATGTGCAAACCAAGGAATTTTGTTGATGATACCCTATCTATCAATACATTATTAAATGATACATCTCCTGGAAGCACTTTGATTGTATTATTAAAAAACATATAATTTGTCTTTTGCAGATTTAAAGACAATTTATTTGCTTGGATCCACAAAGTAACTTTACTTAGATCGAAATTAACCGTTTCTAACAGAGTTTGTGAATTTTTGTGTGAATATTACAAGCTGGAATCATCAGCAAATAAAATGAATGACAAAATATCAGATGAGAAATGAAAGTCATTAATATATACAATAAACAAGAGCGGACCAAGGAGAGATCCCTGAGGAACGCCGCATGTGACATTCTGTAACCCTGAATCAAAACCGTTTAAAGAAACAAATTGTTTCCTGTCAGCTAAGTAGCTCTTAAACCAGTCCAGAGCTGTGCCCCTGACACCATAATGCGATAATTTCCCTAGCAAAATTTCATGATCTATAGTATCAAATGCCTTGGAATAATCAAGAAATATACCGATTGTGTGCATCTTTTTGTCTATTGCTTGTGAAATCTTATCTATAAAGTGCAGCAAGGCATGAGAGGTAGTATGTTTCTCTCGGAACCCAAACTGAAAATTTGAGAATATTTTACTTTTGTTGAAAAATTCTAAAGTTCTAACATAAATCACTTTCTCAAGGATCTTTGAGAAGGAGGTTAGAAGGGAAATAGGACGGTAATTTGAAAAAGATTGCGGATCCCCCTTTTTAAAAACGGGTACGACTTTTGTAATTTTCATGTTTTCGGGGACTATTCCATTTAACATTGATGAATTAAAAACATGAATAAGGGGTTGAATAATCGCTAAGATAACCTGTTTAATTATGTCATTATTGACACCATCGTAACCAGGACTTTTCCCAGCCTTAAGCGAATTCACAATAGTAAGCAACTCTTCCCTAACTAATGGGAAAAGGAATAAGCTTTTCTTGTTAGATTCTTTCAGGAAATCGTTAAAAGATTTTTGACAGGAAGGGACCGCCCGTGACAGATTAGGACCAATACTGCAAAAATAATCATTGAATTTTCCCACAATAATATTCTTATCTTCCACTAAACGACCATCACTTTCAATATTCTTTACATCAGAATTTTTTTTCTTTGACTTGAACACATTTCTTATCACTTTCCAAGTTCCTTTGATATCGTTTGAAGTTGCTTGAAACTGAGCAAAATAATATGTTTTCTTTGCTGCACGCAAGACTGAAGTAAGGGAGTTTTTATAATCAACATATCGTTTACGTGAAAACAAAAATGGAATAGCCAAGCTTCCCTATTCATTGGTGCCATGTTATAGAAAGAATTCGACCCATAAATCTTTTTTTAATTTTTTTTAAAAATTCCAATCCATCATCAAGATCTACTCAGCGTCTATCGTTGTAGTTGAAGAGGACGAAAGAGGGTGCTGTTCCTGTTGTATAGTTGTATTGAACAGGGGATTTTTATATTTTGATATTCACGCATTTATGGATTTCCAATGCAAGTATAGAACTAAGAAGCGAAACGGCTGTAAATAAACCTACAATGTGTTAGACGCTAGACGTATACAAAGTGACGTGGCTGCCATTTACGTGTACATCGGAGCTACGTCTGGAGAAAAGGAAAATTTCTATTCTTCGTATTTGTGATTTGACAGCAGCATTATGCTGACCAAATTTGAGACAAAATCTGCCAGGGTGAAAGGTAAGCATGAATACAAAATAAAATACATTTGTTTCTTTTGGTGTGTGATTCAGTGTTGAAGTTACGGGTTACATCAGAATTCAGATGGACTCCGTGGCCGCTGGAGTTGAGTGACATGAGCGAGTGCGAGTGGGCGATGCCGATGTTCTTGCAGTGCAGCCCCGTGCATGAACCCCGTGCATTGCATTCAAAGCACAGCTCAAGGCAGGCAACTGATGTCACAATAGACTATTTAAAGTTAGTTGGTATGCAGTCTTACAGATATAACTCATTGGTCATAAAATAGAATATGTGTGCCACAGTTTTTGTACGGGTGGTCGATGGTCAAAAGATATTTTCTTTCAAAAAAAGAATAAGCAGGGATCGATCCCAGTGCCAGTGGGGTCACTCCAAACATGACTGGCTGCGCACCCACGTCAAGAAAAAGTGACGAAAAGGTGTCTTTTTCAGCTATACCGCGGCGTCAATATTTTTCTTAAAAAGGGGAGTTTTTTAAGCACTGATCGCACAAAAACCCAAAGAGGGTACCTTTTCACTTCAGAATTCAGAATCACAGATTCGGCGCCGTCTAGTTTTTCCTTAAAAAGGGGTGTTTTTCAATCACTGATCGCACAAAAAGAACAAAGGAAGGGTACCTTTTCAGGATCACAGGCTTCAACATTTTCTTTAAAAAGGGTAATTTCAGAAAAAGTGCATTTCAGTTGTTGATGGACACGGGTGGGTAGCATACGAGAGTGACCCCCCGGACATATTGATGGGAAGAGTGAAAAATGATGTGGCAAATTTGATTTTGATTTGAAGAATCTTTCGAAAGAACTGGCCATTTTTGCATGAAATTTACGAATCCATCGTTCACCAGTATCCCATTGAAACATGTTAAATATGTTATTTTATTTCTCTTCGATTTTCTTTCTCTCTACCTTCTCCCTCTTCCATGCCTTTTCTCTCTTTCTCATTCCGTTTCTAAACTCTCTCTCTCTCTCTCTCCTTCTATCGTTCCACTCTCCTTCCCCCTCCTTCTCTTCACCCTCCTTCTCTTCACCCTCCTTCTCTTCACCCTTTCATTCTTTTTCTCCTCTCATTCTCTTTCTCTTCTTCTCCACACCACGCTTTCTATCTCTCATCGTTATCCAGGCTTGTGCTTTCACCCGAACCGACCATGGATTCTTGCTAGCTTGCACAATGGAAACATTCAGCTATGGGACTACCGTATGTGTACGCTCCTTGAGAAGTTTGACGAGCATGATGGTAAGCCTACATCCAGGTTTTCAAGATATTTCACAGTATAGATAGACTCTATCCAGAATGCCTTTTTGTGAAATCACAGTATCAGAGAACAAGAAGCCATGCATTGAAGTTATTCACTACTCGCTGTCGATCGAATGTCAGGAGTAACTCTTTTTGCAAATTTGTCTTGGAACAGTTTACCAGGGCAGCGTTTCTCGAAACCGTCATAACTACAAGTTCACCGACATCCCATTGAAACGCGTGTTAAACTTAATACACACGTTTCAATGGGATGTCGGTGAACTTGTAGTTATGACGGTTTCAAGAAACGCTACCCTGTGTCTCTAGTAACTTCTACCAGCATCAATTCAAATTAGCACATCAATAGTATTTAAGGATTAGTAAGGTTATTTTTTTTTCTTTTTGTAAGCACTTCATTGTTTTCTTAATATGTTTTTGTTTCATCTTCCTTTCATGATCGTGTTATTTACTTTAAATAATTATGTATATTGTGAAATTGTAAAGCGCATTGAAATGTCAACAGGCATGAATTGCGCTATAAAAGAACAAATTATTATCATTATTATATTAATTCATTTAAACACAGCTTGGATTCTTTTTGGTCGGACAAACACTTTGTAATATAGTCTGATATCCACGCATGCACTGATTTATAGACCTTTACTAATGTACCAAATGATCTGACCGGGAGACCTACAGGATATCCTACACTCCCATATAGATGATGATAATGACATTCAATCCAAATGAAGTACACTTAACTGTATTATACTATCCTGGCTGTGTATTATACTATCCTGGCTGTGTATTAAAGATAAACTCCAGTACTGGTAAAAAAAAAAAATAATTCTCACAGAATCAAACGAAACTTACACTGAATGTTCAAGATTACAAATAAATGACATGTGCCAAACAATTTTGGAAGAAAGTGTATACTGGCTGAGTAATGAGCATAGAAAGACAAGGAAACCAAGGTAGTACCATCCCCGACACCATGTGTGTTGTCCCATATATAGCTTTCTATGTGAGTGTTTGTTACTTTACCAAGACTCGGTCAAATTTATTATGATTTTGATGACTCCAGAACCTTGCAGTGCACACCAATACTTACATGCTACATGATCAACTGTTTCTGATCCTTTCACACCTTTTCTTTCACAATGCAATCGCATTACCAGTACTAAAGTTTATCTTTAACAGCTGTTCTATTGATTCTCAACATTTCAAACACCACTGTACAAAACTCAACTGATTTAACTAAAAATCTGTACTTTAGTAACAATTGATAACACCTAAATAGCATTAACATAAACAAAATTCAACTTAACGATGTTAGAAAGAATAATTTAAAATTCAAATCGTGAGTCCGTACTGTCAAACTTGCAGATCAGACACATCGTGTTCATTGTGTGCATTTGTGTGTAATTTGTGTATTGACTATTCATGTGTGCAATTGCTGCCTCTTAGCACGTACATGTAGTGCAGCGCTAGAGGTCAATACGCATTAGCATTGACTCTCTATGCTTTGCCTGAGTGGAGTACATGTACATCCACATGCACACTCTTGTTCCTGTGTGACTTTCATACAAAATGTACATGTAATGATATAAGATATGAATTACAGTTGCAAAAAAACAAAAACATTCTGTTACAGGAAAGAATTCTGTATGTGCTAACATGTTACCGATTTAGAGATCTGGTACATTTTCTTAGTAAGTTAGTATCAATAATAGTATTAGTACTGGGTTCTTGTATAGCGCTTATATCTGCCAGACTTGACACTCTTGGGGCTTTGAAGTTCGATTTAGACAGGATCTATTAAAACCTATTCAAAAAGTGAAAAATTGTAATGTATAAATATACATTACTTCCTCCTATATTTGGGTCTTCGAGTTTAGCCCTTGGCTTAAAGTAGTAACATTTAGGTAATTTGCATTAGATGAAATGATGAATTGCAGTCCCTACCGAAAAAGTTTTTAAAAACGTCTTTGTATTTCTCTCAGGTCCCGTTCGAGGTATCAGTTTCCACCAGCAGCAGCCCCTGTTTGTATCCGGAGGTGATGACTACAAGATCAAGGTCTGGAACTACAAACTCAAACGATGTCTCTTCACTCTCCTAGGCCATCTGGATTACATCAGGACAACCTTCTTTCATCATGTAAGACAATGATTAAATAATGCACATTATAAGATGATGACATGGATCGGAAACAGGTATTTAAATTCCATTCCCTCATATTATACCCCACAATATATTTTTTCCCATTTCAACTCCAAGAAGGGAACGCTGATCTGTTTCTCTATATGGTATTCTTTTCCTTTTCAAATTAGGATTATTGTTCCGACTTGATCATCGAATACATTCTGTGAATATCCTTTTTGGTTAATGGGATATACCAATTCAAAACTTGTCTTAAGACACATTTATTCAAAATTTCTTTTGCTGATTAACTTACTCTGTTCACATTGATGTATATTTCATATGTATTGTAATTTGTAGGTTTATTTATTTGCAATTTTTCGTTTAATATATACTTGTTTGTCATTGTATTTTGTTTGAATAGCGCTTAGAGACTTTGGTGGACATTATGGTGGCTTTATAGACACCATTTTATTAGTATTATTATGTAATGTTGAAACATGATTTCAACTATTAAATTCAAGCTAAAATGTGTTGTTTTTGTGAAAGTGCCAATTGAAATCCACTTTTAAAGCGCATCTGTGCTAGTGTAAAAGAGGGATTTGACGACCATGCAAGGTCACTTGACAGGTGGTTATCTCATCAAATCAGCTCTCAATTAACATAAGTAAAAGGGGATCATGGGGGACCAACAGGCACCGATTAGGCATTGTTTGCTATATAGAGGGCGCAAGCAGCTATAAGTAGTGCAGCACTGCAGTGGGGCTTTGAAAGTTCAAGTCCCTATCTTTCTCTTTGCAGGAATACCCTTGGATCGTGAGTGCATCTGACGATCAGACCATCAGGATATGGAACTGGCAGTCCAGGAACTGTGCTTGGTGAGTTGAAGGTCCCAACATTTTTTATCTAGGGTGCATTCAAGCGACACTTTTTCACCCTAGAAATACAGGTTTTCAAAGACGTTTAGTTTGAAATACGGATGCGTTCAAGCAATTTTTTGTCGGTCGTAAAAATAAACGTGTTAAAAAACGCATAAATGAAATGCTGAAAAAGATGCTTCTTCAATTTTGTATCGTGATTCTGCGGTATCACGGTCGCTCAAAATCGCTTGAACAAACGGAGATCTCCGGTTTGACCGACAGTCGACCGTTAACACAGACAGAAAGCATGCAGCGAAGTTGACCTGCACAGGGTGATGAGCAGTGGCTGGGCTTGAATTGAGTGAGAATCAGCATTGATGAAAAATCGCTTGAACGCTCTCCTGCAGTAACTGTGTTTTTGACGTCGTTTTGATTAGTGATTCTAGTTTCAAAAATTCGCTTGAACGCACCCCTAGTTGTCTCTCCCATCCCAGGTATACTGCCACAATTTATATCTTGAATGGCAGGTGATTTGACTATGGCTGTCAGAGCTAAATAAAGGACACATAGAAGAGCTTTTGGTTAGGTTTAGGGTTATGGTAAGGTATAGTTTTGTTTCCAGCATTGATCCGAGAAGTCAGAAAAATATTTACAGTGGATATGCACTCACACAGAAAGAATATTTTCACTGTGTTTTGTTTGTATCATGCAGCGTTCTGACTGGTCACAACCACTACGTGATGTGTGCTAACTTCCATCCATCGGAAGACCTCGTTGTCTCCGCCTCTCTTGACCAGACTGTTCGAGTCTGGGACATCTCAGGTAAGCCTTAAAGTGACTTGATAACTTTGTCTCAGATTCTGAAACAAAATCCTAGATATAGCTAATGCTGCAATGATAATAATAAACCTTTAGGTCAGTCAGGAACCCGATGACTTTTACAGGCCGGTCGCCTGTCTGATTATCAAGATATTTATGATTGGAAATCGAAATCAAATTTTGCGTTTTCTTAACGGTTTTTATAACACTACAGTCTATTGAGGAAATTGAGTATGGTAAATAGTTTTGATTGGTTCAAATTTTGACCTTAAATGAATTAAATTTTTCTACCAAATTCTATTTTTAATTTGCTCTAGAAATATATCTTATAGACTTGAAACAATCCGGCTCATTTGGGATTTGAACAACCTCAATGAAATTTAATTTTTTTACCATATTTTTTTCTTCTTTATTTCTAGGGCTGAGAAAGAAGAACATCTCCCCTGGTCCTAGTGGTCTGGAGGAACACCTCAAGAACCCCATGACCCCAGATCTCTTCGGTACGGCCGATGCAGTGGTCAAGCATGTCCTAGAGGTATGTTTGAGCCTGACCAATGCCAAATTTCAGAACCCCCTGTTCACATCACGTGCCCTAAATCATTCAACATTCTGTTAATATTGTTATGATGTGATCGTTGAACCTTCTATAACCGCTGGGTTCGAAGGTATTTGTTCAATCATCTTTTGCCTTATTTAGCAGGTGTTATGGATCCAGAGTTATGGTTTGCAAAAAGATGTTTATCTTTTGTTGTGAAAGCTATGAATTCCAAAAATTATACAGTGGCACATTTAGCTGGAATGGCCAGGTATGGAGCTCATTCTGTGTTGGGAGGTAACATAAGATTCTTGAATGATAAGTACTTCATGGATAACAATGAAATTCAAAAGCAGTGGGCTGTGCAATGCCAAGTGAATGATGAGACAATACGCATAGTTGAACAAGTAAAGGAATTGATCAACTCGAGGGATGATTATTTATGTAAGGGTTTCCTTAACCGAGAGGAGTGCGAGGAAATTATCTTGTATTTATGCACACTCTGATCTTACCCTGTTATACATGTATTCTGTTGTTGATGTTGTTTTTTTGTCTTTACATATATTGTGAATGTGCCTATTTGTAGAATATATTGTATATTTTTTTGTTATTTTTTTTTATATGTGCTTTTTAAAGCGAATAAAGAACTCTTGAATTGAATTGAATTGAATTTATTTGCTTCTTTAAAAGTGTGGAACATCCTAAAAGCAAAAGCTGAACGACATAAAGTGATTATATTCCTAATATTTGTTTCAGTTAGAGTTTTATGAAGTATTCATCTTTTTCCCATAAATTCTTTCCTAAGAAAAGTATTTATTATTTGTTTTGTTACAAGCGTTATTTTGGCTGAAGTGAACCATTGTAAACCTTTATCTATTTTAATGTTCTTGAATATTTTTTATTATTGTTAGGGACCAAACTAACTGAAATAAATGTATCCTTTTGTTTTACATGTTGCCAATTTGATATTGATTTTAGGGCCATGACCGTGGAGTGAACTGGGCAGCTTTCCATCCAACCATGCCTTTGATTCTGTCTGCGGCTGATGATCGCTATGTCAAGCTCTGGAGGATGAATGGTAAGTACTCTCGTTGATAGCATCAGTTTCCCCCAAGGCCCTTTTACATGAAATTAAAGAGCAACCATTATTTCCCTGGCTTTATTAGAATATTTATTTGGCAGTATTTTGCCTATGCTTTTTTTGTGTGTATCGGCAGGTTATATGAACGTGTAGAAAGTAAGGTGTCTGAAAACATGATCCTCCCCGGAATTAATTTTTGTTTCCATAACTAATCATAGGTTCCAAGAGCAAGTCGCACTCCACGAGGGAGATTTTATCAGGTATTTTGAGAAAAAGTGAGATTTTTTTCCTTGGGAGTGGCTTGGAATTTCTTCTTTTCTACGCATGTTTCTGAGTAGATTGCTCTGCAGAAAGTTGAAGTTTGAAAGTGGAGTACTGGTACAAGTTTTAAGAATTGAAATAGAGAAGAAGCAAATACAGTCAAACCTGCTTTAGTGACCACCTGTCTACAGAGTGCACCTGTCTACAAAGACCACAATTGTTGTTTCCCTTGAAAATGGTTTCTCATTGAATCACGTACTAAAGGAACCTGTCTACAAAGACCACCTGTCTACAAAGGCCACTTTTTGTGTTCTACTCGGGCGGTCGCTATAGACAGGTTTGACTGTATTATTCTTTGCTTCATCTTTCTCATCATCCTTCTCATCATCCTGTTCCTCCATCTAGATGCCAAGGCCTGGGAGGTGGATACCTGCCGTGGTCACTACAACAACGTATCATGTGCCATCTTCCACCCACGTCAGGAGCTCATTCTGAGTAACTCTGAAGATAAGAGCATCAGGGTGTGGGACATGTCAAAGAGGTATGTCGAAGGTGCTCCTCTAGGTAGTACTTGTTCTTGGTGGAGGGGGGGGGGAGAAGGGGATGGGGATGAAGTATATCTTTTGGTCTATATGCTCCATAGGCTGCTGTTCACACTTCGAAGAGATGATAAGTATAATGCAAGAAAGAACAGAAAGCCTCAATCCAACAAAACTCTGTTCATTCTTGGATATCATAACAGCATATCCTAAACCATCTTCAATCCCTTTCAGGAGCTCATTCTCAGTAATTCTGAAGGGAAGAGCATCAGGGTCTGAGAGGACTTGTCACTATAAACCCTTTTATTTAAGGCTAGGGGGAAGGGAGGGGGGGGGGGGGGGGGGTGTACGGCCATGATGAAATTGAATACATGGATTAAGTTAGCACTTAACTTAATATTCAACTTTGCTAAGTGAAAATTGTTTCTTTACTCACGTATCCATCTAGCTCTCTTCATATTCAGGTAAAATCCTGGGTTGTATCGTATGACATGTAGTTTAGTACTAGATATCATAAATAATAATAATAGTAATAATGATAATAATAATTGTGGGTTCTTGTATAGCACTCATGTCTGTTAGACTTGACACTCCTGGTGCTCCACATTATTACCCCTGCTTTAGCATGGCTGCCATTATGGCATTTCAAGAAATTAATTTCTGCCGGGTACCCACTTACATCACCTGGGTCGAGCGTGGCAAATGTAGATTAATGTCGTGCCGTTGATTGATTATGTTGCTTTGTTTTCTTCACAGGACGTGCATCCAGACTTTCCGTCGTGATCATGATCGTTTCTGGGTGCTTACACCTCATCCCACTCTTAACCTCTTCGCTGCTGGTGAGTGCATTTTGATTTGATTTTCATTGTTTCTCTATGAGCAGATCTTGCAGATTTTGATGGCAAAGGCTAAACTTGGTCTACAGTTTATTCTTATTGAAATATAATTGAAATTGATAATAATAATAATATTCAGTTCTTGTATAGCGCATAATACATTATGAAATAACGTGTTTGTGCACTTCAAAAGAGCTTGGGAAATTATTACCCTAGCTTAAGCTCCAGCAGCTGTTATCAGCACACAATGCATTTCAAGAAATAATCCAACCATTTCCCCATTTACCTCGCCTGGGTAGAATGTGTCAAATGTAGATTAATGTCTTGGTAAATGACATAAGTGCCAATAAATGAATTGCGCATTTATTAAGTAATACATTTTTTTTTCACTGGTGAAAGTTTACCAATCAGTTAACAAAAAGAATTAATCATCATAGACGATTACGGTACTGGTAGAATGCAAAAGTAAAATAATTGTTATTATTATCATTGTTATTTTTATTATTATTTTTTATTATTATCGTTATATATATTGTTATTGTTATGACAGTCAGTGACCACCTGTTTACAAAGACCACATTTTTTGTTTCCCTTCAAAATGGTTTCTCAATGAAACATGTACTAAAGGAAGCTGTGTTCAAAGACCACCTGCCTACAAAGACCACTTTTCTTGACTCCCTTGGGTGGTCTTTATAGAATGGTTTTACTGTATAATTATCATTATCATCTCTTGTCTCATCATTTCAGGTCACGACAGCGGCATGATCGTCTTCAAGCTGGAGAGGGAGCGACCGGCCTACGCCACCCACAACAACATCCTGTTCTACGTCAAGGAGCGCTACCTGCGCAAGCTGGACTTCACCACGTCCAAGGACGTCCCCGTCATGCAGCTCAGGGGCGGAACCAAAAGCCCCGCGTTTGCCATGTCCTACAACCCCGCAGAGAAGGCTGTCCTCATCTCAACCGTAAGTTTGTCTGGTTGTTTGGTTTGTTTGTTTTACCTGACTGCTGTGTTTTAAGAAGCATCTTAAAACACACCTTTGTACATTGTAATTAACTACATTTTCTATCATATTTTTTGTTACGTTTGAATTCATTGATTTATGTCGTTTGTTTTGTAAAGCACTTTGATTAGTTCTAAATTGGATATAGCGCTATAAAAGAAACAAATTAATAAAGCATGTGCTTGTAAGTAAGCGACCAGGGGACTGACAGCTTAAAGTCCTCTCCAAGGGACTTGGTAATGACTGCCCTTTGGTAAGGCATTAATCCTCATTACCGAGTATAGGAGGAGGTATTCGTTTCTAATGGAAAACAAAAGCTATTCAAAAGCTATGGTTTACCTCTAGTACTTTTGACGAGCGATAACTTTAATTATAATGATTGCACCAATGAGAATGAACTTAAGATGACCTGGGTCTTGTAAATCTTATCTGTTTTACAGAGGACAAGCAATGTTGATAACAGCACGTATGATCTCTACCAAGTTCCCAAGCAGAGTGATTCTCAGAATCCTGATGGTATGTATCTTGTCATCAATCGCAAACTCTCTCTCTCTCAATAATATGGCATTCACTGATGTCAGGCTTTTTAGAAGAAAGAACAGTGGTCATATGAATTCAAGTCACCAAGGTGCAACTAAGCTGATTTAAATTGAAGTATCAATAAATATGATTCCTTGGGACAAATTTGTCATATTGTGCTAATTTATTTATTGTTCATTTCAATACATATAATATCCCATTATACCCTTCTTCATACAGTGTAGGTTATTAACCCATTATGAATTCCCGAACGAAAGATTATCTTTTTTTAATTAAAAAATACCATGTGAAAAAAAAGTTTGCAACACTGGCTTCAGTCTTGAAAGGGTATAAAGCCTTCACTTTTATAATAATTATAAGGATATTCAAGATGCAGACATGATGATATTGACAAATACTAAAGAAAAATCAATGTAAGGGGCAAAAGAGAAAGTTTGAAGATGCGATCTTAACCCGATGACTACTGAACTCATTCATAGCCATGGGCTTAATACATGGACCACCCGGCTCCAGTAGACAATGGGTTAAAGTTTCTATGTGATACATTTTTGTTGATTTGGTTTGTTTTTCTTGTGATCAGCCCCTGAAGGAAAGAGATCATCTGGACTGACAGCCGTGTGGGTCGCTCGCAACAGATTTGCTGTGCTGGACCGCAGTCACTCGGTAAGAAAACACATCTTTTCTAATCTATATATTCCTTTCTTTTTGTTATTTCTTTGTATTTCTTGTTTATCTGCTTTGTATCTAATGAAAAGATGCTTTATAAATGTAATATTATTATTACAATAAAACCTGTCTATAGTGACTGCCCGTGGGGAACACAAAAAGCGTTTTTTGAAGACAGGTTCCTTTAGTACATGCTTCAATGAAAAACCTTTTTCTAGATAAGGGCAGGTCCAAGCTATTTGGATTGTGACGTACGGGACATTCAGAGACTTTAAACAAGAAATAACAATGGATGAAATTATTTATATGGCTATCTTTTGGTATGAGTCTGTGGCTATTATGGGCTAGTTCATTTGTGGAAAGTTTTAGTTCCGACCAATTCATAAATTAATTTTTAATGTAATTAATGTGCTGCGTGACGTACGGGACCAGAGAATTTCTGACTTTTTCAAAAATAAGTTCGTCGTAAAAATTCTCTGAATTTATTAAGTTATGAGATTTATGGTAATGATATCTTAATTCATTATGGAATCAAGCATTAATCACAACTATAACCATATTTTTCTGACCTTCCGTTGTTATGTAATATACCAAAACATAAATGTGTGTATGTGACGTACGGGACACGTGACGTACGGGACAACTTTTCCCTATGGGAAAATGCATTGAAATGAAGAATTTTCGTCAAAATTTGTTAAATATGAACAATTTTAACTTAAATCAGTGACAATTAGAGTGTTTTAGAACCCAATTAGATCCTCTGACCATCACTCAATATCCTCTGTGTTAATTTATGAGGTAAATCAATACAAATATTACTTTAATAATTAAAGAAAACAAATTAAATTACATTCATACCTACACACTATATTACCATTTTTATTCCATTTACCCATTTATCATGTGCAGTCATGCTTCTTTTCTCATTTCTTTCATCCATTCCATTCAACAGTGCTACATGTACATGTAAATGTTTTAAAATAATAATTAATGAAGAAGATGAACTTGAACTTGAAAACTTTCATTAAAACTTGTTTGAAACACGGGGGCACACTCGGCACATCATATTTTGTGAACAAAGATACAGTACATTACAAATATGAAATCTTTTCTTCATAGCTTGTTTGAATTACTTAACTTGATAGTAATATCATAGAATTTTGAAGGAATTCAAAGATAATGCTGAACATATTGTCTTATTCTAATCTTTTTATCACAGATTAGAACATGTACATGTATATGTTGCTGTCATATATTCAAGAATTTTAATGTACATGTTTGTGAAAGATGGATACAAAAATATAAATCTTGAATGTATTTTGTATTGATTAAAGACATCTTATTAACACCACCAGATATAATAAATTAAAACCCTAAAGGTTTGTGTGACCTTTTCCACATTTCAAAAGATTAAAGCGTAATTCAACAAAAATGCATGGATGTAAAAGTGATGAAAATCCTAAGTGGGTGAGAGTGAGAGAGGCTATCCTTCCTTAAAAGTTATGATTTAGTTTTTAGGAGATCAAAATTCCTGAGCTGGCTCCACAACATGTACATGTACTATTATGATTTACATATTTAGCATCCTGCCAAAGTTGATAATACCAGGGGTCTGGCTTGAAGACTAATTACATCAATAAATATTCATAATTGAATGACACATGCCTTTAAGACTAAAACAATAACAACAACAACAGTACGAGTAAATTCCTAGAAGGGACCCAGTTGGAATGTTCATATATCCCTGTATACAACAAGTTTCCTAACACATATGTATTCTCCTTTTGGTCATTTCCCTTTTTCACATCTTGCATTGGTTTTATATAGGGTTGTCCCGTACGTCACACACTTGTCCTGTACGTCACATTTCTTAATTTGATTATGTAATCAACACAGAATTTTCGTAATTTTTGTTAAACCTATTTTTTGCTAGGTATTCATCTAAATTAGAACTTCCTAGAATATCTTTAAAAAAAAAAATTATTTTCATAATTAAAATTAAACAAATTAATGTCAAATTGTGACGTACGGGACATCACACTTTGGAACCTACCTCATTTGCATAATTAATAAATTTTGAAAGTTTTTATATTTTTTTCCTATTTTCTAGTATGATGGTCTACATGTCCTAAAATATTTAATTTTAAAAAAATAATTCAAATGAGATACAAAAATAAAAATGTAATGTCCCGTACGTCACGCTAATTAACACAAATCAAAGTTCGTGACCTTGGCATTCTTCATATTTTGATGATTTTTAATTTTTTTTATCAGATTTATAAAATTCATAGTTTCAGCTTTAAAATGATGTATAGTTTGTTAAATATATATAAAGATGAAATTTGACCCCCAGAGGGGACAATAGCTTGGACCTGCCCATAAACAAAAATTGTGGTCTCTGTAGACAGGTGGTCACTAAAGCAGGTTTGACTGTATTATTATTATTAACTTGTTATAATTATATTTTCAGCTGGTCATTAAGAACCTGAAGAACGAAGTCACCAAGAAGGTCCAGACTCCAGCCTGCGAGGAGATCTTCTACGCCGGGACCGGCATGCTCCTCCTCCGCGACCCAGAGAACGTGACGCTCTTTGACGTGCAGCAGAAGCGCTCTCTGGGCTCGTGTCGTATCTCCAAGGTCCGCTATGTGATCTGGTCGGGTGATATGATGCACGTTGCTCTCCTCAGCAAACATAGTAAGACATACCCTCAAAACTTATTTCTTCGTAGAGGTACTGGGTGGTATTCTTCAAAGCGGACTAACTTTAATCCATGGTTTAATCCACCGACTAAGTAGGGGATGCCAAGTGTCCATATGAATATGTTTTTGAATAATTTAATCTATCACTAAATTAAAATATAATGTAATAACATAATAAATAAACAACAGCATAATTATGATATAATTATTTTATCATGGTTATTTAGGTACATATCAAATTATTCAAAAATATTTTCATATTGACACTTGGCATTCCATACTTAGTCAGTGGATTAAACCATGGACTATAGTTAGTCAGCTTTCGAGAATACCACCCACTATCTTTAATTTGCAGCAGAATTACATGTTGGAATATGTGAGGGCAATTTCAAGGTGGGTAAGGGGGGGGGGGAGATTATTTTTCTTCAGTAGAATTTAATTCACTTGAGTTCCTGTGAATTGAAATCCAATTATAGTTCAAAATTATCTTGGGGCTATTTAGAGGCTTGAGGGGGACTGTTTCAGTAGTTACAGGTCATCGAACCCCAAAAGTAGACTTTCATCTCGTGAAATAGTTATACTATTACTCTCACAACCATTATATTATGACTATACCATGACACCTCCAATTATTTATTGTGACAGCCATTGCTATACGCAACCGCAAGCTTGGCATCCCTTGATACGATCCATGAGAGCATCGCTATCAAAGAGTAGACTTTCATCTTATGAAATAGTTATACTGTTACTCTCACAGCCATTAAATCATGAGATGAAATTTTTGATACCGCTGAACATGGGCTTAATACCGCTGTATATGGGATCAATACTGCTGAATATGGGGCTATCCAGCTATTTATTTTATCTTATAATACATTATTCTCCATGTTGTCTTTTTATACCAAAATGTAATAAACAAAGTAGTTAGAACTACACCATGAAACCTCCAATATGTTCAATTATTTATTGTGACAGCCATTGCTATCTGCAACCGTAAGCTTGGAATCACTTTATACGATCCATGAGAGCATGAGAGTGAAATAGTTATACTATTACTCTCACAACCATTAGTTTGACACCTCCAATATGTCTAATTATTTATTGTGACAGCTAATGCTATCTGCAAACGCAAGCTTGAAAAACCTTCTTCTATCCATGAGAACATCTGTATCAAAGAGTAGGCTTTCATCTCATGGAATAGTTATACTATTACAATCATTAGTTATAACTATACCTTCACTTATTTATCATGACAGCCATTGCTATCTGCAACCGTAAGCTGGAGACCCTCTGTACCATCCATGAGAACATCCGGGTGAAGAGCGGAGCTTGGGATGAGAGCGGTGTCTTTATCTACACTACCAGCAACCACATCAAGTACGCCATCACTAACGGGTAAGGGTCAAAGCTCGTTACTGGTTTTTCTGCAGCAGGTTCTCTGTCTGTTCATCTGGATTGAAATTGAGTATCCCTTTTTTGATTATGTATGTTCTAAAAGATGTGAAAGTTTAGTTGTGAAAATGTGAAAATTAACATGAATGAAAATTGATAACGATCTTGTTTGGTTACGTATCTATCAAAGATTTTAGTATGACTGATGATTGTATAAGGTAGATAGCTTTGCTGTTGCTGAGATCGTACCAAGAACCCAAGGAAAATTGTAGTCTCAATGTTTGTTGTGTTTTTAATTCCATGATACTTTGTAAGTCATGAGACAGAAATACTGCATGTCTTGGACTTAGCTTGGAAGGAGGTTTTAAAGGTCCCACTGCACTACTTGTAGCAACTATATAACAAACAATGCCTAATCGATGACCATTAGTCCCCCATGATCCTCTTTTTCTTATATTAACTGAGAGCTGAGTTGATGAGATAACCACCTGTCCAATGACCTTGCAGGGTGGTCTAATCCCTCCTGTAAACTAGTACAAATAAGCTTTAAGAGTTTGTTCTATTCTCTCATTTGACCTTTCTCAGTGACCATGGCATCATTCGAACCCTGGACGTCCCCATCTACATCACCCGGGTCAAAGGTCAAAACGTCTACTGCCTGGACCGTGAGTGCCGCGCCCGCGTGCTGAGCATCGACCCGACAGAGTTCCGCTTCAAGCTCGCCCTCATCCACCGCAAGTACGACGAGGTGCTGCACATGGTGCGCACGGCCAAACTGGTCGGTCAGTCCATCATCGCGTACCTGCAGCAGAAGGGCTACCCCGAGGTGGCGCTACACTTTGTCAAGGACGAGAAGACGAGGTTTGCGCTTGCCCTGGAGTGCGGAAACATTGAGGTGAGTGGTGTGCTCTTTGTCGGGTCGTGCATCCAGAATGGCATCGTGAATCACAGCTGGTTCTTGTAGATCAATTCAAAATACCTTTTTGCACGAATATGTACCACAAATTGGTAATAGAACTTTACGTGGTAGACTTTTAGTAATTTCTTTTATTCTGTTTTAAAGGGGTATTAAATCGCTGTACAAGATATGGATAACATGGTCAAATGCCTCGGCAGAAATCTTTTCTCAGTGTTGATAAGGCCATCTTTTTTTTCTCAATACATTTCAATGTGGTTTGTTAGAAATAGTAGTCCAGGGACTAATTGCACAATGTTTACAATGTAAAAATAGTCATAAAATAGGATCATCAATTAAAACAAAAGAGAAAATTAATAAGAAGTACATATTCTGTACAAATCTTGTTTGATAATTAGTGCATCTCTTTGTTATTATTTATCAACAATCAATTTTTTTCATTTTTTTTCAATTTTAATTTTGTTTACTAATGTGTGCATGGTCTCTAGTAAAATTGGAATTTCTTTTATTTCCCCCTGATAAAGTGTAAATTATTTGTCGCGGTAATAATTTCCTATCACTCCTCTCTATTCAAGTTCAAGTTTTATTTATCTTTCTTTTATAACACACATTACAATATTACATAAATATAACAAGTTAACAGAATATGGCGTTACAATAGAAAGATGAGGTGACCTTAGTTGAAAGCAAGGCTTGTTGAATTAAGGTCCCTCATGAGTATGTTCTAAATGTTGCTTTGATGATCAGGTTGCTCTGGAAGCTGCCCGAGCCCTGGACGACAAGTATTGTTGGGAGAAGCTAGGTGAGGCAGCCCTCTTGCAAGGAAACCATCAAGTGGTGGAGATGGCCTACCAGAGGACCAAGAACTTTGACAAGCTTTCCTTCCTCTACCTGATCACCGGCAACTTGGACAAGCTGAGGAAGATGATGAAGATTGGTAAGTATTAGGTTTTGATGGAGAGGTGTGGTGGGATTGTGAATCATGAGAGGGTGAGAAGGGGGTACCTGTTCAATATTTGTAATCTATGATAGAGATTGGTATCAGTTCTGGTGGATAGAGAAAGAAGGTCTGAGTAATGTGAGAGGGTAAGAAGGGATCACTATCCTAATGATTCATGCCTCTGTAGCCTAAGTGAAGATTGGTGAATACCCCTTTGTAATGGACAGAGATTGTAGGACTTGCATGTGGTGAAACATTGAGATGGGAGTACATTCTTAATGATAGTAGTGATGAAGATTGGTAAGTATTAGGTTTGATGGAGAGGTGTAGTTGGCATTGTGTATCGTGAGAGGGTGAGAAGGGATCACCATTCAAATGGTACATGCTTTTGAAGCCTAAGTGAAGATTGGTGATTCCCCCTTTGTACAGGACAGAGATTGTAGGACTGGCATGTGGTGAAACATTGAGATGGGAGTACATTCTTAATGATAATAGTGATGAAGATTGGTAAGTATTAGGTTTGATGGAGAGGTGTGGTTGGCATTGTGTATCGTGAGAGGGTGAGAAGGGATCACCATTCAAATGGTACATGCTTTTGAAGCCTAAGTGAAGATTGGTGATTCCCCCTTTGTACAGGACAGGTATTGTAGGACTGGCATGTGGTGAAACATGGAGGTGGGAGAACATTCTTAATGATAATAGTGATGAAGGATTTTGACAAGCTCTCTTTTCTCTACCTGATCACTTGAAACCTCGACAAGCTGAGAAAGATGATGTAGACTGGTAGGTACCAGTTTTTCGCTGAAGAGGGTAGTAGGCTCTAAGTTCAGTGAGCGAATGAGAAGGGAGTACCTTTTCAATATTTGTAATTCATGATAGAGATTGGTATCAGTTCTGATGGACAGAGAAAGAAGTGTCTGAGTATTGTGAGAGGATAAGAAGGGATCACCATTCTAATAATTCATGCATTGTAATAAGTTAAGATTGGTGAGTAACAGTTTGTGATGTGTTTTCTCTCCATCTTGATTCACAGCCGAGATCCGAAAGGACACCAGCGGCCAGTACCAGTGCGCCCTTTATCTTGGGGATGTGACAGAGAGAGTGAAGATCCTCAAGAACTGTGGACAAAGTAAGTAATTTAAAGCCCCACTGTACTACTTGCAGCTACTTGCTCCCTCTATATAGAAAACTTCCCCAATCAGTGCCTGTTGGTCCCCCATGATCCTCTTTTTCTTATGTTAATTGAGGGCTTAATTGATGAGATAGCCACCTGTCAGTGACCTTGCTGGTTGGTCTTATCCCTTCTGGCCAAACTAGTACTGACGGCCTTTAAGATGTTTGACATTTTCAGGGCATGTTGGTCTGCAGACTATAAGTTGAGGTTGTTTAAGAATGATGATTTTCACTAGTTTGCATATATCTTTTACATTTGCTTGTTAGACTCACAATAACAATAATGAAACTGCAGGTTATTTTGTTTCTTCTCGAAATTAAAACATTCTTGAAGAAATTTATAGAACTTTTGTCGTATCCTTTGGATGTAAGATAAAGAACTCTTTTCTACAGTCATATTTTCAACATGGCAGCACTGCTTCACCTGTTAAACTTTCTTCTAAATACAGGATCAATTCATACCTATACTATAACATTTTTCGTATGTTGAAAACTTCCTCCTCTAAAAATAGATAACCCAGTTCAAGGAGTCTAATAATAATAATACTAGTGGGTTCTTGTATAGTGCTCATGTCTGTCAGACTTGACACTCCTGGAGCTCCCGATTATTACCCTGGCTTTAGCATGGCTGCCATTACGGCGCTCTAGCATTTCAAGGAATTAATTCATGCCAGTTACCCATTTACGTCACCAGGGTTGAGTGTGGCAAATGTAGATCAATGTCTTGCCAAGGACATTAGTGCCGCGGCGAGACTCGAACTGCAGACCTTGTGATCGACAGTCCGATGACATGTCCTTTCGACCACAACACCTCTAATAAACAACATCACTTTTCTCTCCAGAATCCTTAGCCTACCTGACAGCCAAGACCCACGGCTTGACCGAAGAGGCCGACGGCATCTCTGAGATGTTCGACGAGAGTGACACGCTCCCAGAGGTCTCGCCCAACGCCCAGCTCCTCCAGCCTCCGGCCCCCATCATCCGCTCTGAGGAGAACTGGCCTCTCCTGACCGTCACCAAGGGGTTCTTCGAGGGTGCCATGAGCAGGGGCAAGGCAGGAGGAACAGGCAGCACCATGACCGCAGCCGTTGCTATGGATGAGGGTGATGCCGGCGGTGATTGGGGCGAGGATGCAGAGCTGGTACTTGATGGTGAGATGATGTTTCTTAGCTTGTGGTTACCGTGGCCTTGTCTTATGTACAGTTGCAATTGTTCCAGATTTATTGGTTTGCTTGTCATATTTTTATTGACAGATGGGGAAAAATCAAATATGATAAGATATGTCTAGGGACCGACCTTTAATATTACCATTCAAAAGATGCAACTCTGTTTTTAAATGGGGTCTGTCAGAGTCGGTTTATAGGTGCAGACAGAGAGCCGATTGTACTACTGACGACATCGCCAGACCACCTCACATCTAACCAACTCATTCAATCAATCACAAATTTTTAAATACGGAAGGAAATGCTAACTTTGTGATTGACGGGAAGGCTCGCAATCTTTGCTCGACAATCACAACTGTATATATATGACAGACCGTTGTAGAAGTAGGGGATCGTAGAAGGGACTAGATGTCTTAAAATGGTAGGTGGTATTAGGTTTGTAGGCACATAGAGGGCCATAATGCCCCCTCCTTGGCCTCATTAAGGTTAACCTGTTATTGTTGCTATGTCAGGCAAGCCTCTGGCAAGCTATCAAGAACAACCTTCGCTAAAAAGTATCCATAATATTTGAATATGTTAGTCGACCAAGGTATTGCCCAAGGTATTGTAGTCAGATTTCAATTTTCACATTCTTGATTTCTCTCAGACGGAGATGAATTCGGTGATGCAGCAGAAGGGTTTGGAGATGACGATGGAGACGGTGAAGGAGGAGCATGGGACGTCGATGACGAATTGGAGCTACCCCCTGATCTGGTAAGTCTCGACCAACCACACCCTTTGCATTGCTTTTGTGAACACCTGCAATTTCGCTCGTTACATTTGAAGGCAGAATAAGTCCTGGCCATGATGATTAGATGAGGTCAAGCACGGGCCATACTATTAAGCTTATTAAGCTGTCAAGCAATTAATCAGCCATCAAAACTTTAAAACAGTGACTAAATCTTGCTGAAGATCAATTAACAGAACTTGATAAGACATGTTGTCTGTTACAATATCCCTGTCCATGATATTCAGAACTATGGTTGAAAGTCCGTCTTGTCTGTTAATAGGAAACATATGACAGTTTATGAATGTGTGTGCCCCCCCACTCAGTGTTATTTAGGGTACGCATATGCGTGTTCCCTCCTTTTGAAAACACCCCCTAAGTCCGGTGTGTAAAGTCAATTTTGTGTATGTACGAGCCGGACTTTGGTGCGTGAAAAGTACCCCTTTGCCGGACATTTTGGTAACACGCATGCGTTCATTCCGACCCCGGAGTGGGGGGCCTGAGTGTGTGGCCAATTTGAAGAGGGGTATAATGAGTTTAATCATTAAAGATAAAGTTGAGTTCGGGTCATGTGACTACATTGTGAAAAAAAGGTGTGGAACGGATCAGAAAAAGTTGATCATGTAGCATGTAAGTATTGGTGTGTACTGCAAAGTTCTGGAGTCATCAAAATCATAATATATTTGGCCCAGGCTTGGTGAAATAACAAGCACTGTACTCAGAAAGATGTATATGGGATTACCCAAAATATGTCGGGGGCTACTAACCTTGATTTCTCTATCTTTCTATGCTCATTACTTAGCCAGTATACCTTTTCTACCAAAATTGTTTGGCAAATGACATTTATTTGTAGTCTTGAACATTCAGTGTAAGTTTCGTTTGATTCTGTGAGAATTCATTTTCTTTTTTTACTAGAACTCAAGTTTATCTTTAACCATCCTTCTTTGTCCTTTTTGTTGTGCAGGATGTGCCAGCAGGAGGAGGTGCGGATGATGACTACTTTGTTGCACCGGCTAAAGGTATGAGCCAGAGCCAAGTCTGGGTGAAGAACTCACAGCTCCCTGTTGACCATATACTAGCCGGATCATTCAGCTCTGCCACACAGGTAGGTTAAAGGTTATATCCCTCTCCATTGGTTAGGTCACAGTTCGTAGATATAAGTCTGTGGGGGAGGGGGTTGATACAGGATCTGGTTTTAAGAAGTCATCACTCCCAGTGGACCATGTACTAGCTGGATCATTCAGCACTACCACACAGGTAGGTCAAACGTTATATTCCTCAACATTGGTAAGGTCAAAGGTCGTAGATATTAGTGTCAGGGTTTTCGTGGAAGTGTAGGTCAAGAACTCAAGACAAAACTCCCAGGGGACCATATACTAGCTAGATACTTCAGTACTGCCACTTAGCTAGGTCAAAGGTTTTTCACTTTAACTTTCAACTGGCATCAGTTTTCGTGGAAGTATCCACCATGGTACTAAAAGTTATGTTAACAGAAGTTAAAAATACAGTTGGAATTGTGCATAAAGGCTAAGGTGTCATAACAAAAAAGGTGATTGATTGTCCAGGCAATTTTCCAACCAACATTCATTTATAAAGTTAACACGAAGAAGACAAAAAAGGAACCAACAGGACTTCTCAGAAAAAGAAACGAGTCTTATCCTGAAGTCCACTAAAGAAAAATAGAATAAGGCGTGCTTAGGAGCTATGTCAAATAAGCAAACTAGCATTCCTGATTTTTCATGCCTTGTTCGTTTCCATGCTCTCCTCTCTTCTCCGCAGCTACTACATGACCAAGTTGGTATGGTCGACTTCACGTCCTACAAACAGATCTTCATGCAGACGTACGCCAGGGCAAGAACATCCTTTGTAGGCCTGCCATCTCTTCCACCACTCTGCGGCTATGCACATCGAAACTGGTATGTCTAGGTTTTTAAAAAAATCCATTCAAGGTATTTAAAGATAAAGTTGAGTTCTGGTCGTGCGATTGAATTGTGAAAGAAACGGTGTGGAATCGATCAGAAAAAGCTGATCATGTACCATATAAGTATTGATGTGTACTGCAAGGTTTTTGAGTCATCAATAATAAATTTGGCCCCGTCTTTGTAAACTTTTGTTTATCCTTTCAGTGGCATAGTAGTGGAATCAATTTGGATAAGTCGCAAATCTGTGCCCCGTCTTATAAGGAGTCGCGATTGATCTAGATTCATTGCAAGCCCTCCGCCCCCCAACAAAAATAAAAATGAACACAGACTTACATACTCCTATCTTGTTAGTACAGAGTTTGGATTGATATTAAATTTGTGATCCATTTGAATAGGTCCAGCACTTTATAATAGGTGGCCCCTACGTTACAGCTGATTGTAACTTGAAAATTAATTCAAAAATTTGATATTTCAATCTCAACTTGTTTCCGGAGAAATATACAATCTTAATAGATAAATTGCAAAATAGCAATCAATTTCTCACTTCCCCGTGTGTTACACACCTAAGGTTGAGTAACACACAGGTTTGCAGTCTATTGCAAGTTTGAATTGGCTATTCTGATTGGTTCAAAGATAGCCTTTTAACCAAGTTTTGTGTGCAACAGTGATCTTGAATGACCAATGCTATTGGAAACTTTTGTGGGACAGGGTCGAAGCCAAGATTGGGTTGATGGTTTATTTTACCTGACTGGTAAGAAAGCATTTGTATACTTGTAAGTAAGCTGCCAGGGGACCGACGGCTTTAAGTCCTCTCCAAGGGAATTGGTAAAGACGATTAATGCCTTACCAAAGGGCACTAGCGCATCGACTTGGTTTCGAACCTGGGACTTCCCAGTTACGAGACCACTGCTCTACCACTGAGCAATCGCGTCTCCTTTGAGGTTGAACTTAATCTAGTGACTTGATCTTTTCCTAGGCGTGAGGCAGGAGCGAGAGGAGGCCAGCCCGCCGTAGGTCTGAAGCTAGCTCATCTTGTCCAGAGGTTACAGTCTGCGTACCAGCTCACAACGCAAGGGAAGTTCCCTGATGCTATCGTGAGGTTCAGGAGCATCCTCCTCAGTATACCCATGCTGGTGGTGGATACAAAGCAGGAAATCACAGAGGTACATTTGAAACTGTTGCATACTATTTAAGAACATGTCAGGAGCATTAGGAACTGAAACAGAGGTGGTCAAGAAATACAACGAGAACAAGTGTGATTATTAGGAGATATACTCTTTTTTTTAAATGAACATAGATGAGGGTGGAATAAGCATGGTTAATAATAAATTGGAAGAGATGAATGAGAGAAAGAGAGAGAGAGAGAGAGATAGAGAGAGAGAGAATTAGGAAAACAAAATATATTGAGAAAGAGGTAGAAGGAGGGGGGTTCGAGAAGTAGACTTAGAATTTGAAAGGAAACTTGGAGAAGGAACAAAAAGAGGAAAAATTTGGAAGAAGTTTCAATGTCTATAAAATTATATGAACAAACTATTTGCAGATAAATAAACAGTGATTAACTCCCTACCCTTTCTCGTTAAAATAATCCTCAGGCTCAGCAGCTTATAACGATATGCAGAGAGTACATTGTAGGCTTGTCCATGGAGCAGTACAGGAAAGAACAACCCAAGGGCAACCTAGATGAGCAGAAGAGAATCTGTGAGGTAGGTCAATCGTCTTCTGAATGTTTTTTTCAGGAGAGAAGGGAAGATGATGGAGAGAGGGGGGGGGGATGATTGGATAAAATCTATGTTCAACATCTGATAACGATATGCAGAGAGTACATCGTAGGCTTGTCGATGGAGCAGTACAGGAGAAAAAAAAATCTGATAACGATATGCAGAGAGTACATCGTAGGCTTGTCGATGGAGCAGTACAGGGGGAAAAAAAATCTGATAACGATATGCAGAGAGTACATCGTAGGCTTGTCGATGGAGCAGTACAGGAGAAAAAAAAATCTGATAACGATATGCAGAGAGTACATCGTAGGCTTGTCGATGGAGCAGTACAGGAAAGAAAAACCCAAGAGCAATCTAGCGGAGCAGAAGAAAATCTGTGACTTAGATTAATCAAAGACTTCAGAGTCATCGCCTTCTGCTTGGGCTTTTGTTTTGCATGTTTGTTTTTTCTGGAAGGATGGAAAAATGGCAGAGGGGGAATTCTAGGGTCAACATCTGATAATGATATGCAGAGAGTTCATCATAGGCTTGTTGATTGGACAGTAACGGAAAGAACAATCCAATTGTCATCAGTTCAAATGATCGTGTTGTCTGATGAGGAAACATTATACTGATTTACAGTAGGCTTGTGGTTGCACCATGTGAGAGAGGGGGAGGATTGGGGAGTCCTGAAAAGGACTGTGGGTAATGCTTCTTTCTTGAGTGTGTGTAGTCAAGAAAGAAAGACACACTCAAGAAAGAAAGAGTACAAACAGTCCTTTTCAGGACTCCTCAATCCTCCCCCCTCTCTCACATGGTGCAACCGCAAGTCTACTGTATATTTACATCACCATGCAAGCCGATACTTATAACCAGCATTATATTGATTTGTAAAAGAAAGAAGGTCATAACGAAAATGACCACGTACCAAAGACCAAAGTATCTTTGTGTTTTCCTCTCTACAGCTTGCAGCATACTTCTCACACTGTAACCTCCAGCCGATCCATCAGATCCTGACGCTCAGGACGGCCATCAATCTATGGTTCAAGCTCAAGAACTTCAAGACGGCTGCAGCATTCGCAAGGCGGCTCCTAGAGCTTGGTCCTAAACCTGATGTAGCGCAACAGGTGAGTTGATCAACCGTTATCTGAGATTGTTATTAACCCATTGTTTACTTGAACTGGGTGCTTTCTGTATTAAGCCTATGGGAATGACAGAATTCAGTAGTCTATGGGTTATCATACTGGTAATTATTAAGAATTTGTCGACACCAGTGCTTGGGGACTTGTTTTATTTCACCTATCAAGTAATACTTGCACCCCCTCCATGCTCATTGGCTGAACCCATACGCTGCCACTATTGGTACTTGATCATTATTTTGATAAAGGAATCACAAGATTTTGAAAAACAATCTATGTTTTTAGTACTGCACCTGATATTGGACAACAAGAATATCATAATTGTAGATTGTCCATCTGATCAATGTAATGCCACATCATGATGTTCCTTTTTTTGCTTCTATTATCAAGGAGATTTCAAGTTCTTGAAGTGGAATTTATGAAAAGTCTAAAATACTTCATTTTTTGCTTTTGAATATATATGATTTTAAGGCTAGAAATGGCTCTCCATAATGTTTAAGTCCAACTTAATGTTAAGTTTGACTTACATGTAGGTTCTTTGTGAAACACCCCCCCCCCCCCCGGATTATTAGTATTATTATGAGTAGTGCAGTTGTCATCTGAACTGTGAGTCTTTTACTTTCTTGCTGTTTTTTTTCTTCCCCAGACGCGCAAGATCCTACAGGCTTGTGAGAAGAGTCCCAACGATGCACACAAACTTAACTACGATGAGCACAATCCCTTCGACATCTGTGCTGCTACGTACAAGCCAATCTACAGGTAAGAAAATCAAATTCCAAGTAACACTCTTGGGACCTGTTGCACAAAGCCTTTTTTCAATGACAAATATCAGTGAAAAATGTGCTGATAACCAATCAGAAGCAAGGTTTTCAGTAGCTTGTAACAACAACTGTCATATGTCACTGATGACAAGTTTTGTGGAACACCCCCCTGGACTTTGGGAAAGATATATTTATAAAAGGAGGTGGAGAGCATAGCCTATTGAGAGAGATAGTTGTGACAAGCAATCACAGGTCAATTCATGGAGCTCAGAATTGTTCCCGCCCATAGAGATTGTATGTTGGAGCTCCATGAGTTGACCTTTGATCGCCTGCGTGTGCGTGTCTCACAACTATCTCTCTCAATAGCTATGGTGGAGAAGTTTCAATAACTTTGATTAACCCATGGCACTTGAGAGTTTTCTTATTTTCTAAATTAATCAGTATTCTCTCCTCAAAATGGCAACAATGAATCTTATTTTCCACTCCTTCATAGTTTGAAATATATTTTAAGAATATTTATTGAATGAACCAATGTGAAAGAAATTCACAAAATTGAACAGAAAAATGAAACCAATTTGTACATAAAAATAGTGACTTTACGTTTTACACATCCTATAGAAACTTTAACAGTCAGTCACAATATTCCACTCACACGCTTATTCAAGAATAGCGCAATGTTTTGCTTTGGAAAAAGCTTGACATTTTCTGTGACTTTTGCTCCTTCCCCATTTTGCTCCTCCCCATGTACGGTTTATGTCCTTGTATGAGGCTCAATTGTTGATCCCACTCAATAAGCAAGTTCATAGTTGCAGTCTGAGCATGAGCAGACAAAGGTCATTGCAGACCAAATTGTGAAATACACAGAGACGAAATACTGGGTACATGCTCATGAAAGTTATTTAATGATTACTGGTATTCATTTATGCACAAGCAGTGCACTCCATGATACACAGGTGGAAGTATTCTTTGAAAAGGTGTGTATGTGTGTATATTTGGGTTTTTACAGACGTGTATCAATCAGATATGATTATTTACCTCTGGGGACCGACTTTTAACGTCACCATCCAAAATACGTGACTCAGTTTCGAACCTGCGTCCTACGGCTGAATCAGTTTGTAACTTCCACTGTTAGCTGGATTTCAGGTGCACGCCACAACGCCTAGTTGAAAGAAAGGCTATTTATGTAGCACCTCCATCGCTGTAGGAGTGATTATTTCAAAAATGTACAAAGTGGGACCTCTTCATGTTTTGAAGATCTGTGGATATGCGGGGTCATTTGGGACATATGCTAACGTAAACTGGTCTATTCTTTTTCTTTCAGGGGGAAGCCCGTTGAGAAGTGCCCTCTGAGCGGAGCCTGCTACCTTCCACAGTTCAAAGGTGAGGTCTGTCGAGTGACCCAGGTCACGGAGATCGGTAAGGACACCATCGGCCTCCGAATCAGCCCTCTACAGTTCAGATAAATGCGATCATTCCTCGGAGATGAGCGTCTCTCACTCTGCAGAGCGTTACAAACTCATTCTATAGCTAGCCCAATGAAACCAAAACACGACGGGTTCTTATTTCAAATTACACGATAGCCTTTTCGAGTTACCAGAGCATATTATCCAATATAATTTGGTGGAAAATTTGGCTGAAGAGTTCTCTGTGGTCCACATTTTTGGTTGCCCCAATGGGCTAGTGTGAAATAGAGTTTTGTACTCCTATACCGGGTTTTATGACGCTACTGTATCTAGATGAATTTACTGGTGGTACTGTAATGGAAGCTCCCAGAATTATTGTTGTTGCTTATTGAGGGTCTCTTTAGTTGACTGTATAGTCGGTTGTGGTGGTCTTTAGTACATTTCACAATGCATTTTACATTAGGGTGAACCTACAATTAACAACTAAATTATTCATACCCTTAGCAATTTTTGTGATTTTGTAATGTATGTGAGAAATGTATTTGTCCCGATTTATGCTTCTTGAGAAGGTGACATCTAGTTTACATCTAAAAGTATTCAACAAATTCCCTAATTCAACTAGCCCAGCTTTAGCTTTTGAGTTACAAAAAACACACACACATACAAAATCAATTTTACAAGGGGTATGAATAATTTAGTTCTTAACTGTAAGTATTCCTTAATCATCAATGGGGCTAACATCAGAGCAAAGATATTAACAAAAGTTTGAGTAAAGATTATGACTAAAGATTGGGAGAGTGACAAGCCAAGGACTTGCTTGTGAAGACTTTATAACTGATTTTAAAATAAAGCTTGGGTAAGGAGTTGAAATATTGCCTAAAGTTTGGTCTAATATAGATCTCTGTGTTGATGCTGTTGCAGAGAATTGCTTCTATTTAACTTATATAACATAAATTATAAAAAACAAGTAGAATTAGACACAAGAAAAAAGGTAAAAGTTGTTTTCTATTAACCAAGAGATATAATATAATAATGTTCTTCGCTACTCTCTTACAGCACACGTTGCTAGTCCCCTCTCATAGCAAATCCACCACTTCTGTCAATCAAAGTTGAATCATTCCTGACAGTGTAATATGAAGTAGTTGTACCTTGTACAGTATAACTATGTAATACATGTAATGTCAAAATGTACCCCCCTGCAAACACCCATTAACAGTTAGGTGTGTAAATTTAACATATGTGAGGGCAAGTCGCTGTGAAATACAACTGTATCAGGCTTGAAATTGCACATTCAAATTATTTGTAAGAAAGTCTTATTATAATGTGATAGTGTTATTTTTTTCCCCTTTTTTTTCTTCTTCTGGTTAATGTTGCATTTTGGGTGTTACTATTCATACAAAGTGTTCAGCATAATGTATGATCATGTTATGTATACTTAAATGAAATTTTAATATTGCTGATTACTTAATCTCAAGTGTAGCAAGTACTGATGTGTACACACAAAAAGATATTACATATTTACATGTCAGTGCTTCTTGGATACCTATTTGTGACAAGCTTTATTATTGTTTTGTGAATGCTTGTTGTGACATGCATATTATTAAATATGAGAATTTTATGTAACATAAATTAAAGTTGTACTTGATAGCAATTATTGTGTACTTGTATACCAGTAGTAGGCCTCCCTAGGTTAGAATAGACCCTGGAAAGAGCAGCCTAGGTACCAGTATGTGCAGATGGTGTGTTGAGATTCTTTCTGTTTTTATATATTTTCTATTATTCAACCATCGATGTCCCCCTCCTTACACGCATCCCATTCATAGCGGGGAGGAGGGGGGGGGGGGGGGGGGGGGGGGGGGGGGGGGGGGGGGGGGGGGGGGAAAGTGAGCACATTTGGCCCTCAAAATTAAAAAAAATTGCACCCCTCCCCCCCCCACCCCCCCTGGATCCGCCACTGGGGGCACCCACCCCCTGGCTACGCTAAAGAATCTTACATCACAAAAAAAAAATCACATCAGATTTGGATTATATGCAGTTGCACTTCAAGGAATGACAGCCTTTATTATCATCTGAGTGAATGCACGCATGGAGTACGATATAGGGTTACAAAGTAACTTAAGTAACAACACAACACATCTAAGATTTAGTATCATAAAATAGTAAGATTAAACGAGAACTTACCGTTTGAAGTTTGATCTTTATTTTATGAATATTTAGGAGGAAGTTATTACATGAGATCCCGCCAAGCGCATGCGCAGTCAATATTCAAAGCTACAAATGTGGCTACTCTCAATAGTAAGGAACAGGGAACTTACACTTAAGTTTGAAGTTTGGGTGGGTGAGGAGGGCATGTAATAACTTCCTCCTAAATATTCATAAAATATAGATCAAACTTCAAACGGTAAGTTCTCGTTTAATCTTACTATTTTATTTCATATTTCGTCGTTCGAAATTACATGAGATTTTGAAGCATAGTAGTCACATTTGGAACAACCAACATGTACGGAAAAGTGAACACTGATTATGCAGATTGAATTGAATGCTTCTAATCAATGACTCACCATATTTGACATTTATTGTAGTCTGTTCATACATGTGGCAAAACATTTCACATACAAGACGTCCATATATAAGATGTCATAATGTTGCAAAAACATTGTTCGTTTCTGTATCTAGTTTATTCTAGACATCTGGTTTCTTAATCCCAGTTCTATTAAATAGACAGCTGGTCTCTTAATGCCAGTTCTATTGAAAAACCTTCTGATGCAGTTCTTAAAGCAGTGTGCTATCTTGTAAGACTGCCTGGGTAAAGTTTCTCTTGTTTTCAAAAGGTTTCCTGTAGAACTTCCTAAACGTTTTCTCTGAAGACCATCCTGCTCGGGCTAGGATCTGGTCCATTGGAAGTGCTGCCTTGGCAGCTGCTGAAGTTGATGCTGCCCGCGTTGAATGAGCCTTATAAACGTTTGTATCCACACCTGCTCTTTGAAAGCAGGTCTTGATCCAGCGAGATAAGGTTTGAGTTGTTACTCTATTATGAGGTCTGGTGTAACTTACAAAGAATGAGTTCTCATTCCCACGAAGTGGTCCTGTGCGCTGGACATAATGTTTCACATATTTTACAATACACAATCTTCTATCAGGTGGATATGCTTCCAATTTAAAATTAAAATCGGTATTTCCTGGTTTGCTTTGCTTCAAGTGTTCATCCAAATGAAAAACCACAAAGCCCCCTTTTAGGGTCATCTTGTTAGTCTTCAATATATGCAAGGTTTGCACTCTCTGTGCCGATACAAGAGCCATTAGTATACATACTTTGAGTGTTAAATCTCTGAGGTTTAAGGAGTTTACTGGAGACAATTTTCTTAGAAAATTGAGGACTGGACTAATATTCCATATTTCTGTATATCTAGGTACGACAGGTCTGAGTTGAAAAACACCTCTCATCAGTCTGGTTATAAGTGGGTGAGTACTTATTGTCTGATTACTGTCAACGAGAATCAGAAAAGTGGATAAAGCGCTACGAGCTGTATTGATCGCACTGTAGCTAAGGTTCCTGTCATGAAATAAACTACTAAGGAATTCTAGTACCGTTTCCACCTCGGCTTGGAGGTAACTCGTATTCCTGCTGTGGCAAAATCTTCGCCACTGTGTGATGTACACTTGGTACTGCTTGCAGGTTGATGCTCTCCATGAAGCTGTAATGATATCCACTGTTCGTCTGCTTAGTCCCCGATTCTCAAAATGTTGCCGCATAACCTGCAACATAGGAGGTCAATATTAGCATTAAGAGGGTGGGTGGTGTTTAACACAGGAAGGAGTAGCAAATCTTCTTGCCTCTGGATAAACAGTGGCTCTCCTTCCATCATGCTAACCAACTGAGGGAACCACGCCTGAGTAGGCCAATTAGGGACCAGAAGTAACCCTCTAGCTTTATCCTCTCTGATTTTTTGCAAGCATTTGGGGATCATACAGAACGGTGGGAATGCATAGAATGCAAAAGGTTTCCAATCTAGCGTAAATGCGTCAACTGCAAAAGCCCCAGGGTCTGGGTGCCAAGTGACATATTTCTCTACTTGAGCATTTAGTCTCGAGGCGAACAGGTCTATTTCTGGTACACCAAAGTGGGAAACTATTCTATCGAACACTTGTCTGTTTAGTTTCCATTCTGTTCGATCATTAAATTTCCTGGATCTTTCATCTGCAATAGTATTGAGCCGACCAGGTACATGGGCTGCGGAGACCCAAATATTTCGAGAAATGCACCACTGCCAAATTTCTCTCGTCATCTTGTCACACATTGCGGACTTGCAGCCTCCCATGTGATTTAAATAAGCCACTGCAGTGGTATTATCTATTCTTACCATCACATGAACGTTACGCTTATTCATGCAAAAGGATTTTATCCCCAACCCAGCGGCTAGGGTTTCCAGGAAATTTATTTCATTGTTTCGTGCCCTTTCTGCCTCAAATTCATTCCAACGACCCCCTGTTTGCTTCTGGAGGTCAGTAGCTCCCCATCCAAGGCCACTGGCATCTGTGTGCAATTCTAAGTCAGGTTTTTTCCTAACAATTGGGGAGGAGGCCATAGAAACATTGTTCATCCACCACTTTAACTCCTCTTTTGCCTCAAGGGACAACTTCATCTTTCTGTCAAAATGACCCCTGTTTTGTCTGAGGGCTGCAATTTTGTCCCTTTCCATTGATCTATAGTATAAGGGGCCATACTCAACCGCAGGGAAAGTTGCTATGACCTTCCCAATCACTCGTGCTACCATTCGTATTGATGGGAGGTACGTGCCCATTAATTCACGGCATAAATCTTTCACTTCTTGTGCCTTTGTTTGAGGCAATTTAACAATCATACTCTCAGTGTTAAGAATGAAGCCAAGAAAGGCTAGTTCACGTGTTGGGATGAGCACTGATTTTTTAGTGTGAATGAAATCCTAATTCTGAGAGGATCTTGGTTGTTGCACTCACACTCTCTTTCAGCTTTTCTTTTGTTTCACCAATAATTATGGTGTCGTCCAAATATCCTATGACTGTATGACCTGCTTGTCGCAGTTCGGCAAAGACTGGCTTCAGCAATTTTGTGAACAGTCTGGGGGCTGTGCTGAGCCCATTAGGTAAGGCTGCAAATTGCCAGCGCTCACCCTGCCACATGAACCTCAAGTATTTTCTACTATTTGGGTCTACTGGAATGGAGTAATAAGCATCTTGGAGGTCGATTGATGCAAGATAACAGTGCGGAGAAATCAAGTGCTTGGCAGTGTGGATGTTATCCATCTTAAAGTGTTGTACATTCAGACTTTGATTAAGCTCTGTTAAGTCTAAGATCATACGAGTACCCCCATCTTTCTTGGGTCTCGTGAAGATGTTTGAGAGGAATTCTCCCTCTTCAAATGAGCAAGGTTCTATTACGTTTTTTGCTTGTAGAGCCAAGATTTCTTTAGTTATCTGATTTATTTCTAAAGGGCTCTTTTTTGTAACCGTAGAGGGGCTTATTTCTTGAGGGAACCCCTTTCGCATAATCAAATTCGATCTCATAGCCTCGCACTGCCGATAGTAGAAATAGATCTGACGTTAATTCACGCCGTCTACGATAGAAATATATCAATCGACCTCCAACAGGCACATTTGAGATGCATTCTTGTTGTAATGTACATGAAGTAGAAGGAGCATTAACATTCTCACAATATTCATATGTGCTACTTACCTCTTTGGGTAATGGTGTAGCTATTTCCTCCTTGCTGCCTGTGGCCGCTGGAAGGATTGGGTCTGTTTTCCCATGCTCATCGTCTGGGTGTGAGGCGGAGCTCTGTATGGTCTGCCTCGTTGGGTTCGCTGGCCTAAAAAAGGCGTGTTGTAGTTCCCACTTGCGGGCCTGCTACTTGGAAAAGTTTGTGATGTGCCGGTGGCACGGTTCCATCCTTGTCTGCGGTATTGAAAAGTGCTGGACGCTTGCGTCCTGTACGGATGGTACTGGGGGCGGGGTGTACGTTGTCCACGCACCACGCCAGATGCAGCTTTTTGTTGTTCTGTAAGATCTTTGACTCTCTTTGTTAAGTCATCGCCAAATAAGTACTGACTCACTGGTGTGGCAGGTTTGCAAAGATGTGAGTACTTGGCATTTAAGTCTGGCTTAATCTGATCTTTGCGTAAGCAGTTGATTTCAAAGTTTGTGTTACACAGCAATGCCAATGCATCCTGTTGTGTCTCAGATAGGCTATCGGGGGACAGAGTTTGAATAAAAGCTGTGAGTCCCCTTGTCAAAGGCTTTTGGATTCTTTGCAGTTTCAAATCACGGCTTCTCGTTTGCGAGGATAGGTTTTCCCATATTGCTGCATTCACTTTGGGGCAACACAGTGGAGTACAATTGCTTGGAGGAGGGTATTTCCCTCCAGCTTCCTCCAACACATTTTCCTCTAGCTGGTGGGACATGAGGTACATGGCAGACTTTGCTAAATCATCGTGGATCGCGCCACCAACCCCAGTAGGGATAGCAAATTTCTGAGCCAGGGCAGGAACTTTGTCCTCATTCTCCTGGTCTAAACCTGGTGCAACAGTTTCGTTGACATCACCCTCATCCATGCTGCCAATGTCATATGACGTAGGGCATTGGCCCATGTTTCCAGTGTCAATATGCTCAAAATCATCATCATCATGTTCAACTTCACGAAATCTCACGTTCGTCGCAGCTGTAAATGCTGTCGGTGGTGTATCCCCTGTGGGGCGAGTTGCAGATTGACAAGGCAAAAAATCCACCATTCTCTCCATTAAGGATTCCAATTTGTCAAGTCTTCCTCGTAAATCCGTGAAGTCCTCCTTTTCTTCAGGCTTTTTGCCCTTCTTTTTAGGCCCAGAGTTCTTAGACTCATTCGAGGCAGGCTTTGCCAAGACACTTTTGCGTTTCGTATCGGAGGATTTCACTGCCGATGAGCGCTTTGGCTCAGGCTTCGTAGAGGGGCCCGCGGCGGTTTCGCCCGGGGAAGTTCCGGCTTTAGCCGTGCTCAGCGTTTCGCTGGTTTTCTGCTTGGTGCTGCCTGACGGAGACGCCATCGTGTACGTGGAAATCGGAACAAAACTTCGATTTTAGATATAAAAACAGCACAGATTCTCAAAAGTCTTCCAAAAACATGAAAAAGGAGAGTTTCTCTCCCTAATGAAGTATTTTTTTCGAAACCGGTGGTCCGAAAAAACGCCGAAAATTAGGTATTTTGACTGCTGAGGGAAAGTTGCTTTCCCTGTAAAATTCAATTGCGCGGCGAATTGACTGCGCATGCGCTTGGCGGGATCTCATGTAATTTCGAACGACGAAATATGAAATAAAATAAAGGATGCACAATAATGACATTAAAGTAGGTAGTCGTAACAAAGAAACCTTTCAAAAAGGAAATGCCTTTCATTCTGTATACCGATTATCGTAGTCATGAAGGACTGTGCTAAAACTTATTTTAAGGGAGTTTTTCTATGAAACTTATCAGTGTCTTTATCTTTAAAAAGATATTTAAAGATAGAAATAAGTTGACAATCATGATTTTGGACCTTCGATATTAAATTGGGGAAAAATGAATACACATGGATGCGATTGACAACACTCCAAACACGTACAACTAGTATGGTACGATCGTAATAAAAACATGTGTGCCATCATAAGTGCCTCTTGATCTTAAAAAAAATATATTTATGAATATGAATATATATTTAGTCATAATGACTCAAACATGCAATACTAAAATAACAAATGCATTTTTTTTTCCCGGGAGTAACTTATTATCCAGCTTGTACATAATGCGCGTACGGAAAGGCCGTTTGTCGTTGGAGGCGGAACGTGCTCATCTCATAGTATTAGAAAATAAGGGGGGAAAAGGTGTTTAAATCACTATACTATTATATTACTCGGCAAGGAAGTGTTTTTTGCAGGGTTAATGAGCTATGACCTTTCACCTTTGGCCTATATACTCAGAAATCGAACTTAGGCTGTACATGTATTTTGATACCATGTACCTGAATGTTCAATTTCATTAAAATTCGTCAAACATTACTCAGGTTATCAAATGGAAACCAGATTCACATATTTAATGATCTATGACCTTTGACCTACATACTCCAAAATCGAACTTAGGCTGTGTTTTGATACCATGTACCTTATATCAAATTTCATTAAAATCCGTCTAACATTACTAAAGTTATTTTTTCGCATATTTAATGAGCTATCAGACCTTTGACCAACGTACTCCAAAATCAAACTTAGCCTGTATTTTGATTTCATGTACCATTACATCAAATTTCATTAAAATCCATCAAACATTACTGAAGTTATCGATCGGAAACCAAATTTGTTACGGACGGACTGATGGACGGCAGCGTTACTATATCCCCTCCGACATCGTCGGCGAGGGGATAATAATGATCGTCATTACTATCATCATCATCACTATCATCATGAGCATAATAAGCAAAGGTGATTGGACAAACTATCACTTCCGAAGAGATCTGTATGTAGGTATCTTTCCGAGGCGAAGCTGAGGAAAGATAGCGTATACATTCGAACCCGGCATTCAAATCGCCGAGGAAGTGATAGTTTGCCATCGCCTGAAACTAAAAGTTGATTATTTGTTCAAATATTCCGCATCGGAAACATTTCATTTCTTACGTCATTTCTTCTGAGCAACAAATCACCAATTAACAGCTATCAAACGGTGTACGATACCGTACAGTGCATGTAGTACTTACGTACGTACATATGTACGCAACGTATACAGGAAAGTGCATTGAACTGTGTAGACAGTACTACTATCTGCACAGAGCAACGAACTTTTTTTCTCTCATCAAAGATGGGCGAACTATCTTTCATCACGTGATTTACTTTTGACCAATCGTAGCAAGAGATTCTTGTATGTGGAATATAATCATTACTATCGTAACAAACACCACGCTTATAACCTTATACAATCATCAGCTAAATCATTATCGCCACCATCACGGCCATCATCATCAAGGCCTTCATGATCATCATCATTATCACCAATATCACCATCATTATCATCACCTGAATGCAGGCGCGTACGCAGGGGGGGGGGGGTGTTTGGGGGGTTAAAACCCCCCTTTGGTATTTTTATGTGTGTAAACCCCCCCCCCCCCCCCCCCCCCCCCCCCCTTTGGATTTTTTTTTTATATTTTTTTTTTTTTTTTTTTTTAATTATTTTTTTAAAAAAATTTAAAAAAAAAAAAAATCACCCCCGGTTAGGTCACCTAAGAAAGGTGACCTAACCCCCCCCCCCCCAACGGAGTAAAATGTCAGTTTTTCAAATTTTGAGACAAAAAAAAAAGTGTCCTCTTACCCCAAATGTACTCAAAAACAGCGACGTGCCCCCCCCCCCCCGCCCCCCACAAATTAATAAAACATTTTATTAAAAAAGAAAAAAAAAATATGCCAATGGCTGACCTTAAAAGGTGACCTTACCCCCCCCCCCCCCGCCCCGCCCAAACGGAGCAAAATGTCAAATTTAAAAATTTCGTGATCCCCCCCCCCCCCCCACCGCTTGTTGCGATTTTTTTTTGCGACCAAAAAACATAAAAAGTACCCCCCCCCCCCTCCGCTTATTCAGCCGCTGGCTGAGTCGTTGCGATTTTTTTTTGGGGGGGACTAAAACAAATATATATAAATGTTCTCTTTCCCACCGTGTGCTCCCCCCCCCCCCCCCCACCGGTAAGAAATTCCTGGATCCACCCCTGATCATGATCCCTGCCACCACCATCATCACTGTCATCATCACCTAAGTGCATTCTCTTCCTTACCTATCACATTTCATCTAGCAATGTCCAGTATCTATGCCATAACAAAAACACGGACCTTCTTCCAAATTATAAGAATAACACAACATAAAGCAGTTCCCACAATAGCAATGATTGCCAGCACCAAGATGACTAAAAAGATTATATCAGTCCAGGAATATCCGTCCGGCAAGGCTCTAAACAAAAAGAAAAATACACTCATGAGAACAATTATAGAATAACAAAATATTACAACATAATACAATACTAATTAAAGAATACACATACCAGACAGATTTTTTTAAAAAAATAAATTTGTTATTGTAGCTAAGAACGTACATTTCTTAAAAAGAATTAAGACATGATGTAAAGTATTTTTATTTATTTTTTTTTATTTTTTTTTATAATTTTTTTTAAATTTTTTTTTTTTTTTTTTTTTTTTTTGGGGGGGGGGGGGGGTAGTGCAATGCAATCTCCAAAATGTAAAATAAGAAGAAAAAACCTTATTAAATATATTAAAAAGGGATAGGGTTTCTTTCCTCACAAATTAAATTCTTAGAAGCTCCCCCCCCCCCCCCCCGAAAAAACTTAAACATCTCTGAGAAGAAATAGCAAAGCATAGCAAGTAACAAAAAAAGACTGGATTTTCCCACAAATGTTATTATTTTTTTAAGACCAGAAATTGATACACTTGTAGTCTTGGAAATTAAATACAATCAAAATATAATGTTGTTTTATTTGGGAGGAGGTTGGTTAGGGGGGAGGGTAAAGTGGATATCCCGTATGCTAGAGACTTTGCCGCTTCATGCTTCAATTTTCATTAATATTTTCTTACTCGTCAGCGATTTCGGAGAAGATCTGAAGCATTTCTGGATGTCCGGCCTTAATCGCTGCTCGAACGTCAGCGGCTATGCTTTGAATTGCGTCATCGTAATTCTCTACGAAACTAGCCTTCATCGCACGTATATATTTACGACTCCTGAAAAGGATTAAAAAATATATGAAAATAGTTGAGACCCATTTCTTATTCCCTTGTAAAATAGCCCTATTTATACTCCCATGCACCATGTAAAAAAAATCCTATTCACACTCCCTAGATGATACTCCAACTGGACGCTTAGCATGTCTTCACATTCAGTCTTTGCACTAAAGAATACTCATAATCTCTTTAATTTGTGAATTGTGAGATGGGGGGTGTTGAGGCTATGAATCCAGCATCCCTAGGAATATTAACAAAATAAATAGGCATTATACGTTCGTAATGCATTATGTTTACAGTTTGGTAAACTGTTGAACAAACCAACTTTTCTACAGTTCTCAAGACAATGTCGTCATTCTTGAAGAAAAAAATAACAGCTGCCTACTCTTTCGAAAGAAGACCGGGTTTTGAGCCGGGTCCTTGATCTCCCGCTACTTCATGGAATAAAGCCGTAAAGTCCTCCTCGTTCTTGACGGGCCGTTCAAACGCGACGTCTAGATTCCTGGCAAACGATGACATACATGTAAACATTGTGGATGATACCTGTAATGCTGTTCTTATGAATGTCGTTCTGTATAATGATGATAATAATAATAATACAAATATTGATAATAGTAATAGGTATAATAATAATAGTAATACTGAAACTACTAGTACTACTAATAATAATAACAATAGCAACAATAATAATAATGTTATATTTATTCATTCATTTATTGCAACCATGAGTTGGATTTCATACAATAAAAAGGCAGGCATAAAAATGGTTCACAATATAGTTATATATTTATATATAAATACTTTGTATAATAAAACTATATAAATTGACACTTTAAATACATAGATATGAAGAAAGAAAAAACAAACATTCAAGAGCAATCGCATTTAAACATAATTATAAGGTACATGGGACTTCACAGGACCAATAATCATAATCAAATGACATCAACGTATTGTTCAGAACACTTAAAATTGAGGAAAATTTTGAAAGAAAGAGAGATACAGTAAACCCAAATTGAGTGGTGGTATAATGCATTATTCGTAAAATATATCCAGTCAAATTCAATTGATATAAAATTTGTTACATTCTAAATTATTTTGAAATTCATATAATAAACAAGTGTGAAATTTAAGTAAAACGTCTACACGGCACTATTAATAATTAAAGAAAAACTCATAATAAATGCATGGTTTTAACATTAATGGCGCGGAGTCTCTGCTTATGAATGCACTACTTGTTTACGCACAGTATGCGATTAATAAGGTGTATATGCTTAGTCAGTTAAGAAGTAAATCCTTCAATAGTCATTCAATTTTATGTTTTATGCAATTGGAAAACAGAAACCAAGAAAAATTAATATCAAAATAATATCAAGATGTATCTTTCTTGGTTAGGCCTTTAACGCATTTCTATTCATGCCTTGATCTTTCTCTTCCACTTTCTTTTTGTTTACCCTATTTTGTTTCATCAGTCTGTTGATTATGTATATATATTGTAATCAACTCAATATGCAATGTTGTTAAAATGATATAAAAAATGCCTCGTATAAGGAAAAGATAAAAACATGAGTGAAGATGTCATTAAAGAA